ATTGCAGCCGCACACAATCCCTTTCCTGCACACACCATGGCGGGCCACCACAAGCTTGACGACTTTAAGCTGGCAGGCAAAATGAACCAGAGGGATGCACCTCTGCTGAAGCTCTCGTCTTTCCTCCTCAGTGCCAAACAATGTGGCTGCACAGCTGCAGTGCGCCAGCACCCCACAACGACAGATATGGATATTGTGCCGTGCAGAAAATGACCGAATGCAACCCAAGGCCTGTTGAACACAAAATCCTAAAACCGCGCGCATCCCACAACAAGCCTGTCAACTACAACTCCAACTTGGCCGTGTTTTCTGGAAGTCCTTGGCACGAGCTGCCAGCTCCGTGGCGTCCCCCCGAAGGTCCGTGGCCTGGGACAAGATCCAGTCGAGTGGCTAGCGCCAACTGAGCGGGTCGTGTCATGCAGCGATTGCTCAGATTTTGCATGGAAGCCCCTCTGGCTCTCTGGCTCCTGCCGGTCTAGACATGCCTGTTGCCATGACGCCCCGAGTGCGGGCTTCGCGCCGCATCATGCATTCCGCTGAGATGCTTCAGGAAAAGGCTCAGGCGCGACTTCCAGACTAAGAAGCCTTTCTGGACACACCCAAGTCGGGATGTGTGTGGTCAACCCGTGGATCCGACACGAATGGGGTACAGCAACACTAGCTTTAGCCATTGAGTTCAAACAAGAGCGAAATGAAATCATACCAAAAACTATTGCAAGTAGCCGTATTATGACGATAACCGAACAATTACCGAATACAGACACCGACTCAGGACCCAGTCGGACTGGAAGAAAGCAAACGAACCAGAACGAGCAAACAGGTATCCTGGCATGAGAACCTGTAGGTGGGGAGCTCCACCTGTCTTAAGATCTGAAAAACTCGGCGTCCGATCAGCTGGACAGAACGATTCTTCAGAAAGCGGACGGAGGCGGCTATGACAAGGGCAGCCCGAAGCCACTGATCTCAAGTCTGTCTTCGATTTAGGCTGTGAGGAAATGTGTGATTTCGCCTCGACGCTCCCGACATCAATGTGGCAACCATTCGTCCAAAAAGGATACTGACTTGCATTCGGTGGTTAGACGAAAAGCAAGAAAGAACTCTACAAATTGCTATTTACCATGATCATGCGAACTTCGATTGTGGACTCCGTGGCTCGAAAACGAATGAAACTATGTCCGTGGCAAGACAAGGACGCACCACTCTTCAAATCACTAGTCAAGCACTTTTAACTGTCTCGGAGCACTACCGACACCATTCTCAAACTGATGCAGTATACGGCACTTGCTAGACTTCATCCTTGTCTCTTGGATTCTCGCTAGGTGTTGTTGCCCTACGAGGGCTACGAGGTGTGCATGGCTGCAAGTCATCACCAGGAATGACACCTGATCCGTCTGACAGAGATCGGACCCTGCAAACTCGCGCTGCTAAGCCGCACGCCCATTGGAGAACTGTTCCGAAGAGCGGCAGAAGTGTTGGAAGGCTGCCAGTGCTTTCCCGTAGTGCCGTGCAGCGCTTTGGTCCTGTGGGATTTATGATGAAACTCATGCGAGGGCTTGGGCTTCAAACGCCAAACTCTGTCATTCTTTCCGCCCAACATGCCTTGTGTTTCCTCCGAGCGTTTGCCTGTAAACAAAAAGATATCAGACACCACAGGCCTCGGGGGCGGTGCACGCGAGTGCCCGCGTTCCGCCGCGGAAGCGGCTTGCAAAGCTTGCCTCAAGAACGGATCGATTCAGGGACTCTCAGAGAGTTCGGCATGGGAGTTGCGGTGTCCCCTAACACGCTCTGATCGGCTGCGAGCAGCGAGCTTAATTAGAATTAGGCGTTCTGAGATTCTCCCGTCAGGCATGATAGGATACATTCGTCGCGGGACAGTGCTCTGAGCACTTTTGAAGCACAAGGCCACGAAAGCCGCAACGACGCGCGAGTCCTTGCCATGCTCCTCCGAGGATGCCGCAGTGCTGTGCCAACCAAGTCTGCTGCTGTGTGTGCACCTCGAAACTGAAGGCTGAACTGAAGTGAAGAGACACAAAAGTCACGAAACTTCTCAGCCCGGCCTGCTTCGCCCACTTCAGATGCGGCGATGCCCGCTTCACTACGGGCAGGTGGACGAAGGTGCTGCTGGCACGGGAGAGAAGCAGTAGTATCAGCTTTGCATTAGTGGGGAGACTTGGGCCCGATTACCCGAGCACTGAGAGTCGTCAACGCAAACACTCCGAAGGCCGAAGTGTCAAGGTCCAAGCAAACACTTAACCCCCTCATCACTGACCGTCCCGATCGTGCACCAGCATCTCAAGCTTTCTGAGTTCTGCAGGACAACCCTGTTAGTTCCAGTGCCCGAAATTCCAGTCCGTGCACGTTTAGGCGCAATGCTTGAGGGCAAGGATGTGGCAGGAGCTATTCTGCATCAGCACAGTCCCAAATTATTGATTCACTATGCATGACAAGGCGATAATTGGTCTGTGCGCACCTTCCGTCGCCTTCCCAAGTGCGATTTGCCTGAGCCAAATTCGCGTGGAGGCAGTGAAGAGATTGCGTAGCAGGGTAGAAAGTGCAGCTGAATGAAATCACATCTTGCTAGTTAGAGGAGCTTTGACTTTGGGCAGGCAGTACGTAGCTCGGGCATGCTGCAGAGAACTTGGCCCAGCCTGGCAATGCAAGTTTCGCCACCTGATGCATGCTCAACCGAAGGAGATGCCAAGGGTCAATTTGAAATTCTGAGTTGCACGGTAGGGGCTCTTGAATCGTTGCGATGCAAGCCTCGCCTTCAGTTCTAATAAAGCCCCAACCTGCCGTGACCTCAAGTTCAGTTAATACGTGAACAACGTCGGCCGATGGTGAAATCTCGCGGGGTCTAGCCAACTTCAAGAAGGTTCTAAGCCACGCACCAAGCAAATCGCGGTCGCTCCTTTGGCAATGCCCCACTCTTCCTCGGCATTGGCAATACAGTTGCATGAAAGCCCAGCAGACACAGAATGAGGTATCGATCACTCAACCGCAACAGTGTAACTTGACACAAGGCAGCCTGCTCATGTCACCCGGAACACTGATTTGGAACCACGAGGACATGGACGGCAACGTCTTTTCGAGGCATTGCTGGAAAGGTCGGGAAGGGATCGCACAAGCAGAGATGAAGTCATTTCTGCACACATTCCAACTCCAAACCAAGCGTTGTCAGCAAATGGGAACCAAGCTTTGCCACAGCTTCGGACATGCTGCGCAGAGCTCGGCACACGCCTGCACGCATGTCTCTCGCGCAGGTGCTTATGCATCGCAGTTCCTGGTTCAGCTGCTTCGGGCTCCCTGGTTGACACCACTCATCTGGCAAAACAGACAGGACTGAGTATAGCACGCCCAGACGGGCATCAAATCCAACAAAAACGTCGAGACAAGTCATCTAAACCGCAGAACGGCCTCCGAGCTATTGCCAGGCCTACGACATGGCATGGCTCTGCTGATACGGAAGATCTAAAGGGCGCAGGATTCAGGGTACCGAGCGTGTGATTCGGCTTCGAAGCACCGTCGTCCGAGCGATCAGTTAAGTCATCTTGCAACAAAAACACGTCCTGCATGTGTTGGCTGTTTTCCAAGTGTTGCGCCCGCAGGGACGAAGACAAACCGTGCAGGATAATACCTTCCGCGACTTGGTGCTACAGCTTAAATGACCGGGACCCGACTCCATCCATGTTGTTTGAGCGGAGCCAAGAAGCTGGGAAAGACGGCTTCAGATCTCCATGCAGGCCTGTTTGGTTCTGCACCACGAAGAATGACGCTGCCCATTCCAAACTGAACTGAACACCAGCGCAGTCATGTCGATGAAGCTAGTCTGAAAACTCGCTGATAGACCTTCACTCGTTGTCAGCCACACCGTCCATCTCTTTTCGACCTGCTTGCTGCTGACGAAACCTGGCAAATGATACAATCTACCTGGCAGACAAGCTAGTCAGCCAGACAAAGTCGTTGCTGCCATCAGGTATGGCGGCTATGGAACAATCTTTGTAAGAGACAACAAGGGAATTCTCGTTTATACGTGGGCTTGCTGCAGCAGCATGTCTGCCAGAGTATGCTCGGACACTTCGGTGGCTTCACCACCACTTAGTCTTAATCGCAGGCCGCAAACGCGACAGAAACACTGAAAGTAAAGCGGTTGACCCAGATCCACGTGGAGCCACGATTCGCAGATACCAGTATTCGCATCCGCAATGGCGGAGTCTGCAAAGATCTGCAAAGTGTAGCTGACAGTTACAGGATGAGATCAGAATTCTGCGGAGAGCCCTCCACGTGGCTCGTCACTCCCCGTGCCCCTGAGTTTGAGGGGCTCGGAACTTCTGAAAGGCCCCTTCTTTGCAAAGAGCGCACATCATAACTGTCAAAACAGGAAAGCAGCGTTTGGCATGCCTCCATGCACACGTCCTACATCCTGACATCCAAGGTTGAACATCTAAGAGCACCTTGGAGATCCAGGGCCGTAAGTCGTGTCTATGCACCAAAGCCCGAGCGTTGTTCTGCATTCCTCCGGAGCCGCGTCTGCTCGCGGGGATGCAACCTAAGAACGGCAAAGAAGCTGCAAGGCAGAAATGTTCAGACTGTCTCTTCTAGATTCTTCTGGTGCCGGTTGTGCTTCTGGTGGGAACCGGCTTCAGTGGCCCAAACCAGCGGCCCGCATCATCAAAAAAAAAGCAGCTGCAGCAGCACCAGCACCAGCACCGCTACCGCCAGCATGACAACATACACAGCCCGGCAACCCGTTTCTCTTTCTTCCTTTCTGCACTACCTGTTCCTCCTTTTCTTCATTTTTCTTCGGCATCGAACTCCGCCGCGGCACCGCTAGCATCAGGGGACAGAAGTCAGAACACTTTACTGCAGAGTTGCTGATACCAACTGATCCACAAGTCCCAGCATGCCCGAAGCGGGACATTCGCCCTGTGATGCCCAGAAGCGAGCAGTACTTCGCGCGGATCGGAGAAGAGCATCGAGCTTCTCGAGCCTCTTCCTGTGGCTCAGGGAGCCACTACAAGTTGACCCTTGCGCTCCTGAACCACATTTGGAGCCTCAAAGCTTTGGGGCGGGGTTTCACAGCACAACTTCCACAAAAGAGCCAATATGTATGTCGAAGAATGTAAGGTGCGGGACAGCCGACAAGAACCCAGCAAGCATTCAACATGCATGTCAGCCTGGAAAGGCAGGAAGGGTCGCACCGGCACAGGCGGTACAGGCCGGTCCACTGCTTTCCTGAAGGGGAACGTTGCGGAAGGATGCACGAAGTTTGGGCATCAAAGAACGATCTGCATTGAATCTACATGTGGTAGCACGTTCTAGATGCTAGTAAGCTCTTGATGTCCTTATAGCCCTCATTCGAGCTTCACATCAAAATCTACCCTCACTGAACTGGAATGTCCAAGGACCGGACACAGTGTCCGGGTTGCTCTTTTGATGGAGGTCGCGCAGCATGGTCTCCCGGTGTCGGGACACATTCCTCGTCGAGTGGTAGAGCTATGACAGCTATGACTGTTCAATGCGTCCAGAGGGGAAGATTGTTCGTGTGTGGCAGCTTGGAGTGAAGTGGACTTCTGGCAATTGTGACTGCAGGGTCGGCTTACATACAAGAAATCGTATCCTCCCTAAGTTCGAGTTTGCGAACACACAGACATCAGTGAAGATCGCTCGGGGAATGCTGGCCGCAAAGACATGAATCGTCGTTGTGGCGTGGGAACCGCGGCCGACACGGTGGCGGCTGTGGTGATAGTGGCAGCCGCAATGTGAACAGTTGTGGAAGCGACGGTGATAGTCGTGGTCGTAGCCGTAGTCGCCGAAGCAAAAGAAGAACTAGTAGTAGCAATTGCAGCAGTAGTAGTCGTCGTAGCAGAGGAGGAGGAGGAGGAGGAGGAGGAGAAGGGGCAGCCGCAGCTGCAGCGACATTCAGGATTCTGATGATGATGATGCTGCTGATGGTGATGGTGATGCTGATGATGATAATGATGATGATGATGATGCTGATGCCGATGCTGATGCTGATGATGATGATGATGATGATGATATTGAGGAGGAGCTTGAGGAGGAGGATGAGCAGCTGCTGTTGTTCTGTGATCCTTGAAGAAGGATGAAGCATGTATGCCCGCCGTACAGGGTCCCACGCTGAACTTCGGACCACTCACGAAGGGGAAGTGCTCGCCGCTGACCTGGGCATTCAGAGTGTTGCGCCTTTGCTATGTTTCGCGTCTAATCCCGTCCTAGGTTCATTTTCATCTTGATTGAAAGCAGCAGGTCTACACGGAAGTTCTTCAACAGGCTTGGCTTCCGCGACATGTCCTTCTACGACAGAAACCCGGCCGGCACAGCGGAACGTTGCAGCTGTAAGGCCACTTGATGCAGAGAATAGACACGCGAGACGACTGTACTGAAGCCGCTTGGACCGAAGCCTTCGTATGCCCGAATGCTGGTCCTGTCAAGGCACTGGAGCATCGGGAAAGTCCGAGCATTGCTTCTCTCACAGTGAAGCACCTACCATACGGGCCGGAGGCAACTGACCGCCCTTCACACACCGGCACTTACACTATTCCATTCAGGACATAAAAGTTCCCAAGCAAGATGTGGGCGCCTTGACTGCAGAGCGCAGTTCCTCGCAAATTCCGCCACCTTGGTAGTAGAAACGGAGTTTTCGCACGGTTGCATGCTCTTGAACCTGCATCACCAGGCGTCTTACGTGGCCCTCGGCCGCCTGGGTGGGAAGTCGAAGAGCAGAAAGACCTGAGGCAATGCGCTTGCTTTAATCTGCAGGTCTCTTGGGCATTCCAGTTGTCCCTTCATTGCTGCAAGACTCAGCCGTGCCACATGTTGCAGAGGTTCAAGGCAAGTTGTCACTGCCGGGTCAAGCTTTCGCGTCGTTCGAGCAAATGCAACAGCAAGAGAAAGCGCAGCATCAGCTGGAAGAGCTGTGGCACTCGCGCTGTCGTTACTGCTGTCGTTGCACTCCAGCTCATGTCTCCAGTGCTGCTTTTGCTACCGCCTGCTGCCCCCCAGGCCGTGCGACACGAGGCTTCCGCCTGCGTTGGTGAAGTCCCAGCCAGGCCCCGGCCTGCAAAGAGCCGCCCCAAAGGGAAGTCTGTTGAAGCTTCGAGAACATTCGACCTGGCAATCCTTCAAGGAGCAAACGTGGATTCGGCACAAGCAGTCGTTGCTTTAGCCGGACAGAACCTCATCTCCATAGCATGCAAGTGCTTCATACCATGGCACATGCTAATACATCGCCGTACCATTGCTGGCGACATTGTCATGCCCCCGAATAGCTACACATCGCGCAAGGTTTGCACATTTGCAGCGTCATCAAGGTACCCTGATGTGTATACCTTACTACAACTGACTATACCCGATCCAGTCCTTCAGAAAGTGCTGGATGCTAACTATGCCTCTTGCCATCTTGGGATGTCCTATGACGCAGCATCAGCCCTACCTGATTGTGCATCATGCCTTTCTGACCTCCCTGAGCCGCCACTAAAACAGAGCGGCTTATAGGCTAAGCTGCTGCAGCTCATTACAGTCTCCTCTCCGGTCCAACAACTGTCTAAATACCGGGCTGAGTACATCTGGCTAAGTCTCGGGACAACCTGCGCAGGGGCCTACATCCGAAGCTGCTTACAATCATGCATCTTGCCGGTATCAAACAACGAAGCCTCACAGAAGGAAGCCTCATGTCAGGCTCACAGCATCCTGCCTACGTCACGTCTGGAAATCCTTGCTGCGGGCTTTGGACCCCAAAACTCAAACATGACCGAAGGTGCCCAGCTATCAACGATCAAACGTAAACCTTGAGCCCAACATACACAAACTTGAGTGACCTGGAACCGGACTGCCTCTCTTCCATGCCAATGTGGTTGCTCCGGTAATTTGGGCTGATGGGCTCTGTCCAGATCGGCTCTCGACCTCAATACGATGCCGAACACGATAGCACTGCAACATGAAATGACAGAAGCCACCGGGATTCGGGACGTGGGGCTTACGTTCAACCGGGTCAACCGAGAGTTCGACCAATGCTTGGTGCGGAAGGGATCCGAAGAAGCCCTGCGACAAAGCGATGCAGAGCTCGATGCGATGCGGCCCCTTTGCAGTCACCATGTTCCCTACGACCCGGCCTTCACGCACGACGTCTGATGGCACGCTGACCAAGCCGAGGGAAGACGCCACTGGTACTGGCACAGCCTTCGCCAAGACTCCAAAGCAACTCCGCCTCTCATAGCAACCACCTTGCCAAGGTACGCTGCCCACATGAGACCTCTGATCGTCGTCCTGGAAGCGTTGCAGAGCACCTGAAAACAAGCAGCACACGGACCCTACGAAGACAAGCCGCTGCAACACGGTTCAAAAAGCAGATGTTGCACAAGTGCTCCAGTCAGGTATGTGATCGAAACGAGAAGCACGCCCAAGCCCAGAAATGAATTCACATTTTCCTCGAAATATCTATGCAGATAACTACATGATCGAAAGATCTTGCAACCAGCCGGCCAATCAGGTGCGTAACTAATTACGTATTTTGGAAGAGCTCGAAGAAGCCATGCCATTCCTTGAAAGGCTATGAAGCATAATACCGACTTACTTCTGCAGAGGAGCTGGAGGAGAGGCTGCGTACCGCGCTCCCGACGCTTGTCGACGGCGTACGAGGGCGCGAAATCTGGCCTCAGTTGCGGTTGAAGCTTCTCTTGGAGCATTTCAGTTGCCAAGCGGTGCCAAGCGGTTCTAGGGCCTCGCGGCATCTCTCAGCTTCTACCGGCTCACAATCGGCGAGTGGGAGGGCCCGGCTTTCTGTCCCGGCGCTGCGGTGAGGTTTCCTGGCCTGCCAACACGTCTAACGACTCCACGTTTCTTCAGGAGTCTCTTTGAACCACAACCCGTCCAAAACACCCTGGAGTCCTTCAGTGCAGTCGCAGATGCAGGGCGCCGGAGAGACACGGTGCTGCCGATCACAGACATTCTGGTCGAACGGATGCACACCTTGAAGAATAACGAGGTCGTCCCAAGGGCCCTTGACGACCCCAGGCTCACAGATCTTGGAGTTACGGCTTTGTTGCGGTAGGCACCATGGTAACTAGGTCATGGGGACAACATGCTGAAATACTAATTTGGCTACGCCCGGGCCAGTCTGGCTTAGCCAGCGGCCTAGGCTTGTGCTGAGCCAGGACACGAAGCCACAAGCGGTCACACTGTGAGGCTCACGCCCAGTATTCATGTAGAGAAGGGCGCACATGTCAAGACAGCGTAGAAATCTGGTAACAGAAGGGCTGGTCTGCCAATACTGCTGCTACGAACCCCGCATCAGCAAGAGCATCGACGTCATCGCAGGTGGATGCCTTTGTGCCCTGCCAGTGCTAAACCTAGGCACATGCTGACGCATGCTGAGGCTGTAGCACTTGCGACTCTAGCGATTGTTCGTGAGGTGTCAGCCTGGACTCAGCATTCGAAGTTTTGCTCCTTGACGGGTGCTCACGGCTTGAAGCATTTCTGCTTCTCGGTGCGTGAGACAGAAAAGTGGGGCAGACCGCTAATTGGCTGGGAAAGCATCTCTCCCGGCAACCAATCAGGATCTGGTCAAGCTGTTGGTCACGTCAAACCGCCTCAATGTCTGCTGACGACTTGCCGACGCTGCCACGAAAAGTTGACCAAAAGCTTCCTCGCCCACGCTCGAGTCGTCGCCTCGGGCTTTAAGCCGTGGGCAAACACCCAAACACTCACGCGGCGTCCCCGGTCTCATCTGGGTTAGGCTCGCCGTCCTGGCAGGTCTGCGAAGATTGCGAAGACTCAGGCGCTTCCGCGAGGAGAGCGGGCTGGCCGCCGCTGGCCTCCGCTTCTGTGGCGGCTCCGAGCGCCTTCTCCTGGAGAGGAAACGTTTCGACATTGCGCCTGCAGCTCTGGCTCTGAAGAGGGGAAGCTGCCTCCTCGCCGAGAGCCGCCTCCTCGGGAGTCGGAAGGATGGAGTCCGGGATCAGCGAGGCCTTGGAGACTAAAGGCAGAGCCAGCGGCAACGAAAGGAGGGACATGCATCGCGCGTTCGCCTTCTTCAGACCACCACTGCAGTCTACGACTGCCCACAGAGGTGCATCCACTTCGATCGGCCGCTTCACGTTCGCCTACCGCAGGTCGCAAAGCCCTTACTCTACTTGCACTACTGCACGTGAGCCGACAGGCACGAAGAAAGGACTTGCGCCTCAGGCGAGAAAGTGTAGACCAGCCGCCGGTTAATGAAAAGCTCCTGGCACAGGTTCTCTGCTTCGAGTGTCAGGCAGCCGCAATTCGACCGAGCATCAGACAGCCCAAATCACTGCATGACGACACGAAACGGAACGGTCCAGGCCGCCGTCGAGGTTCGCTAAGGCCTGGCACATTGAGGCAGTAGCTGCGACATAGTGACCACTGCCACGCAGCCCTGCTCCTCTTTCGCCCCGTTGTCTTGAGATCATCTGATGAACTTGGGATGTAAAAGGCTTTTGACAGCATGCAGCACGATGCAGCTCCTCCTCTCTAGCCCACGCACCCCCGGTCGTCGAAGTCGGCTCGCGATTGAAAGCCCGAAGCTTGTGGGCTAGGTTGATTTCAAGTTTCGCTTTTGGCTCAGTCGTCCACAATGCCTGACGAAAGGACTGGCTCTGCACTTCGCCGAAGTGCGAGGCATGCGAGACATGTCAATGTGAGTCCCCCAAAAACGAGCGCCGAGGAAGCTCCCACGGTGAAGGTCTGAGCCGGCTTCAGCTTCGTGAAGAGCGGCTCAATCTCAGCAAGAACAGAGATTATGACTAAATGGGCGATGCGAAGTCAGCAGCCCCCAAATCAGCTGCCTCAATGCGCTCGCCATTCCAGTACAGCGACCGGCCGTAGCCCACGACCTTTGCAAGATGAACCCAAGAGTTACGGGCCTGATAGACAGTCTGTGGGCTCTAGCAAGGCACCGTGCCCTCAAACTGGGCAGAGTTGACATCTCGGTGTGGCACAAAAGAGTTGGGAATGTGCCCTGCACAGCCAGGTAAAGGGGGCGCAGCCTGAGACATGGATCTCCAACCACTCAGAGCCTGCAAATGTCTGCAACACGTTCTCGGTCTGGAATTCCGTGAGTCTCGCCTCGGCCTCGCTTTCGTTCACGAGGGTTTCTGGGTCGGTCGCGGTGAAGCCCAAGCCCATCAAACACCTCGCGGGGAAGAGGCATGGACGGGTGGAAAGCTGAAGAAAGATCCTCTGTGCTTGGCGAACGGCATCTCCCCTCCGGCAAAGACATCCACACGGATTTCGAACCAACACCTCATGATTTCGATTCAGCACAACACGTGCGGCACACTGCATCACACCATCACAGAAGATTTTTCTCCGTGGTGCCCTTGCTGGGGCGGCTGTCATGTGCGCCATTTTACTGGAATGCTCCTACACGAGCAACACACAATCGGACAAGGAGCTCCCAATCGCAGGAGTCAGAAAGACTCAGGCTTTGGCCCGCGGCCGCCCAGGTTTCGAACAGGTTCCGCTGAGAAGGCCATCTGCAGAATCACCAAACTCATTTATTCTGGGCTTTTGGATTCGTGGGGCTGGAAGCCAAGGGATTTCGAGGGTCAACGAAACCTTAAGCACTCCAAATCGGACATGACACGTCGTCGTTTCTCTGTCTGCAACAGTAATTGTCTCTTGCTCTTGGCAGGACATCACATGACATATCTTCTAAACTCCCGCGAAGGAGTGTGATATCTGATCTCAGATATGCGTCTCCCACTCACACGGGCCAACCGAGGAGACGGTGCCCAGGAGCTAAGAGGGGCTGCGCCTTGGGCTCGTCTTTCTGCAGCACTGACCTGATCAGAACAGCGAGGAAACGGTTCGAATCTGACGAACCCGCAAGTGTAGGACGCCGCAGCAGGCTGACTGCGAGGCCGCGCCTGTCTTTTCCGCGGAGCAGCTGCGTTCCGCCCAACTTGAGCTCCAACCTGAAATTCAACCGTCAGTTCCGAAGAGCCACAGCACATAGTCTAAATGCTTTGCACTGCCGCCGCCGGCGTTGCAGTTCCACAGTGCAAAAGGAAGGCCGAGGGAAAGAGAGAGAGAGAGAGAGACGGACATCTAGACGACAGAGGCGAAGGGAAAGCAAAGCATGTGCATGCTGTATGTTCACACGGCATTGATGGCACTGAACTAAGGCCAGATCTCACCCCGTGGTTTTTCACGGAATTTGATGGACATGGCTGGCAGGTTGCGCTTGCTTCGCTACAAGCCGCTACAACAAAAGTCGAGAAGGCGGCTGCATTGCTTCGGTTTGCTTCCTTTCTTGGAGTTTGTGATGCTCGTCTCTGGCTCCTTAACCGTCTTTCATGTCTTTGGCCCTTTCGTCACGTCAACCTGTTTCCTTGTCAAACTGTCTCCTGGGGTCAGCTGCATTTCTGCCCAGCCCAACACTTTCCAACTGCGAGAGCCGCACGGTTTGGACCAAGACGGCGTGACAGTCGGCTTCTGAACTCGAGTAGCCTGAGGGAACGAAAACTTCTGCACCCAAGCTGGGGCCCGTGCAGCTCCACTTTTCCACAGGTTCAAGCTAGGTCCATGACGCATGTTCAAACAAAACCTAGTAGCTTTGCAGTGTCTTCTTCAGAAGGGATCCTCAGAAGGTTGCACTAGGTCGCGTACAATAGTACAGCACATATGAGGGACATGTTCAAGTTGGTCAGCGGGTGATCGTCTGATGGCTCACGAAGAGTTAAGCTGTGCAAGAGCTGACAGTGCCACACATGCCTCCAAGCTTGCGGCAAATCGCAACGGCTTTCAAAGTTGGGGTCCCTTCAATACGAGCTTGCTGGGTTGCTCAAGAGCAAGTGCAGAAAGTTCTTGAAGATCCATGACGTCTAAGCTGTCGCAACCCAGAATGTGCAGGCAGCGGCAATTCTCCTTGCAGCTGCCTTGAAGCCGGCTGCTCCGAGAGTCACCAACAGTAACAGCCAATCAGTGTGGTTTCAACTTCGGATTGTAGACTTCTTTGGTAAATTTTGTCCAACTACTCGCTGTCTCGGAGCTGAGAGCTCTCAGCTGGGCTGCCGCACCTCGCCGGGTATGCCAAGGGCGAATGCTGTCACAGAAGCCCTCCCCCACACAGAACTTTGGTCCTGCTTAGCAGCTGTAGTCACTCCCTTGCGGACGCTTCCGCTCTAATTCCCAATTTCAATTCCCTGAAACATGGGTCCTCCTCAAGGCAGTACCTCCTCAATGCCGGGCCAATTAGCAAACCATGATCCTCAAGCACAGACTTCCGACAAAGTTAAAGTTGAAAGCTTCGCCAAACATTGCTAGATCAGGAGAAGACGGAATGCAGCTTGCAGCCCACAGCCGTCGTTCTCTGAAACCCATGGCCACGGCCTCAGTAGGTGGCAATGGGCAGCTCCCCGCCGAAAACGCCGCTGCTCTTCGTGGCTTCGGTCCCGAGGTTCTTCGCCAGCTGCCCTGCGCGCAACCAGCTTGGAGCTCTTTGGTCAAGGCTTGGGATAGTCGACGGCTCCCTAGGGCTGCCAGAGCTCGTATGATGCAGTAGGCCTGTGCCATGCTGTGCAAGCAGGCCATCATAGTCTGCATAAAAGCCTCCGCCGCCATGCTCAAAAAAACCAGTGCTTGCATAAGTCATAAGTAAACCAACACCGCACTTCTGATAAAGACAAGCAGCTTCCGTTCACATAAAGGTGTGGTGTTCTTCGTTTCTGCGTCTTTGCCACCGTGTAGCCGAGGATTGCGGGATGCGTCAGAACCTGCTAGTTCAGAGCAGAGTAAGCACAGCTCTCCCTGCAAACCGAATTGGGGGCAGGTGAGCTGCTGACGTTCACGGAGGTCATGGGCACCACCTGAGCTTCCGTCAGCATCTTCACGGCCTGAGCGAGCACAGGCCCTCAGACCCACATCCCGGTGTACCTGTACCTCTGCCAGCGAGGTGCTCTCCTTGAAACGACTCTACGCGGGCTATGCGCAGGATGTACGGAGCTTCTTACGGCTTCTTCCCACTTCTCTGTGACGGGTTTGCGTGCGCTCGGGCATGTTTAGATGTTATATTATTGAGACATCCTTATCATGCCTGCGTGGATCGATAGTCTATGAGTCTATGAGCAGCTTCTTCCGAGCAAACAGGCAAATGTGCCAGAAGCGCAGGACGGGAGCCACTTCAAACAGCAAACTACGAGTACATGGATTGGGGCCCTGGCGTTAAGGCTTGGCTCGGACTTCGGCGCATCCGGAGTGCCCTCCATGAACAGCACCACCTCCCGAGGTTCTAAGATTCTGGGGCGCAGGGACAGCCTGTCGCTCTGCAGTGACACCTGCATTCTGAGCCCAGCGAAGTGTCCACACAGGCCTTGCTGCTGGAAATTTCCGCATCCAGGTCTGCGGCGACCTCGTCCAATGTCCCGTTTTTGCGAAGAGATGATGCCGCTTTGAGGTATGCTGCAGAAGCCACTGCAAGGTCCTGGCTACCTTCTGATTGGCCTGGTACTCCTGCCAAGGACATGCAAACTGCTGGCTCCACCCGTGCCGCAGCAACATTCCTATCAACGTATCACCGCCGGCCGGCGCGACGATCCGAAAGGTCACAACTTGGCAGACTGATTTTTGGCACCCCTGCGTTAAGTGCAGGAGTGCGCCCGACATGTGCAAAGATCCACGAAGGTCCTTGAGCGACTTATCCACCAACTCATCATAAAGCTTCGCCTGCCGTATTCAACATGAATAGGATGTGCTGTATCACGATACTGTCACCGCAGATCGTGGGTGCAAGACATGTCTTGCCAGCCCACTGTCCATCCATCGAACATGCTGAATGCAAAACCATACTACCTGTTCTCAAATGCCGTCGATATCTGAATCCGCCCAGCTTTCAGCATAATAGCCTCAAAACTAAAAACAAGCAACACCGAGAAGAGATGGAGCCACAACCAAAGCCAGCCATAATTGTCATACCCCCCCTTCCCTCCCTACCGTGGTGTCCAACGGCGACGCAGCAAAGCTGCGCGCCGCGGGGCGCAACGGAATCGGGCGCACTCGCACGGCCGCTGCGAGAGCGCAGCGCCTGCTGCGGTTCACTGTTACAGTGTTACAGTGCTTAAAACCCGAAGGCCAAGGATTTGTCTTGAAGATTTCGTGCAGGCTAATGCAAGTGGTGTCGATGATGGCGGTGCTTGACGGCAGTGGTAGATGGGGTGGTGTGGGTTGTGGTACGTCGCAGTGGTAGTGGTAGTGGTAGTTGTGGTAGTAGTTGTGGTAGT